GCACGGACATTCACGGGTAAATTATACGCGACAAAAGCAAAAATCAAGGGCAATGAATTTTCTGGCAATCTTTTGATGAGAGCACCAGAGGACATTATTTCAACAGTAAACGGACCTTTGATTAAAGTAGAACATAAAATCAAAGTTAGCATTTCGTTGAGTGGTGCTAAAGATATCGAAATAGAACAGCCTATAATTGTGAGTAATGTAATGCCTGCAGAATTGCATCAACAGTTGTTACGTGTACAAAATTTAATCTCGTCGAATGCGCAAGTTATGGCGATAAATAAATAGACATTAGAAATTCATGAATTTAATAGCATTTTTATAATATAAAATATATTTTCAATTCTGGATATGAAGCGTTATTATTCTAACCATATATTAGCTTATAGTTATACACACATAAATATTAGCTTTTCAAATTTGGCAAGTCAAAAGATAATAATTGAAAATGGATAATAAACTAGCATACGTATATGATTTATAATACAAAGAAAATAATGGAGGTTTACCTCATCGTAGATCATTTGTTTGTCGTTATCGTTATGCACGGAACAACTGATTTTCTTCAAAGCATGACCTACCAGTTTTCGTTACAAATCTCATTAACGTTAAGTTTTCCCTTCGTGGATCTCGAGTTAAACCGCATGTTTTATAAATTGATGAATTCATTAATATTTTTTATATTTCAAATGTCTGGGATTTCAAAATAAAAGTTCTGATAAATGGCGGGAATCATTAAAGTGTAATTATTTCTCCAATTTTTTTCTATTAATAGAGTGATATCAGAAAAATTATTAATAATAACGATAACATTAAGCTATGCTAGTAATGCAGATAGTGCAATATTGAAATTAACGCAAGCAGCCCTTCACAAATATAAACCCTAAGCATTTTATACGTATACTTTACCACCAAAAAAGTTAAACTACCTTGGGATAACTGACCTGATTATCCAAGGCGCATTGCAGATTACATAATCATTACTAGTACAACATTTTTATTTACGAACAAAATAATCTCATTTTAAATAATGACAATTTTTCTTTTAAACAAGAAAGATGCATCAGAAATGTTAAAAATAAGTTTATTAGATTAAATAGTTTGATTATGTTAGTATAATTTGACTAAGTATAAATTAAACCAATTTATTTTTTTATTAAAATTTTTAAATGATAATAATCAAACTTTTTAAGAATATAATTCATCCTATGACGCAAACAGCTAGATCGAGAAATTTATGCCAACAAAATATTAAAGACATTTATTTATTACAGACACTTTTTACAAGCAATGGTTACGAATCCCTTTTGTATTTCACACGGGTAGAAAAAAGTTTTACTTATGCTTAAACGCTCGGATTCTGTTAACCGTAACCATTAGATAATCTTCCATGTTTTGCTATAATTTTTTGTAGTTATTAGAGGTTTCCCTGAATTGTGACACAACTATAACAAACTCTCGTAAAACAATTGAAAAATGTGGAAGTTTATCCAAAGGTTTAACAAGTCAAATATGAGTAGAACCTTCCTTTTTTATCTGTGTCAGTTACCTAATACAGCAGTCGATTCTTTAAAAATGGTTTAAAATGGTATCAAATTCTCCACTTGAAAATCCCTTTATTCTGGCACGCTTTCCAGTAACTCAATCGAATATTCTAAATTCAAAATCTCAATAATCTTTTAGTCTTTCCAAAACGTATATCACGTCAGACAAAGAAATAAACTCACTAAGGTCTCATGTATCAATAACTTCGGTCTAAAACAGCTGTACATATGCAATTTGTTCATACAATTTATTAAGGCTAGGGCTGTTAATCGGTCCATCCAGTCCGAATTGAAAATATACTTGTTAAAGAGATTGATCGTAAAGGTTCAAACTTGCTTGCATATATTATAGACACAACTATTCTATAAAAAAACGTTGCATGTATTACGAAAAAAAGAACTAACATTTGATAATCGTGACAGCAAAATTGCACTGGAAGCAATAAGGTATGAAATTTTAAATGAAAATTGACTTCCATGCATAGTACAGGAAATTTGCATGAATTTAATAGGACTGTCATCTCGGACGTCTGTGCTCGGTTCGCGATCACATGATAACAAACCAGTAAGAATGCGCAAATCATGTGTGGCCGGCAACTATTAAAGGTCAATTTTATCGTTTGGGTTAGGTTAAGGGTTAGAGTGGAGAACAAAGTTATATGTAAATTGTCTCCCCAAAATTTTTTATTAGAGCTTCAAGTTATATTTAGACATCTGTTTCAGTATTTTTCAAATTTTATAATTACGCTTCTTTAATTAGGATCGATGGTCTTTCGATCCATTCTGGGATCGAAACGGTCATTTCAGGACCTTTGATAAGAGAGAGTAAGATTAAAGTTGAAGTTTGGTTGAGTGGTTTTAAAGCTATCGAAATAGAGCAGTCTGTAATTTTGAGTAATGTTATGCCACCAGAGTTACATCACCAGTTGTTATATGTGGAAAATTTAACTGTTTAAACTTCTAATAATTTTTTAACGAATAAGAATTTATTGACATAAAAGTTTATACATTATCATTAGTGGTTTCACAAAAGTCTAAAATTCATACAAATATAGCTCAGGTTCTGATATAAATTCAATTTTTTAAATTTTTATTCAACGTTACTAGTTCTTTACAGAGCATTTATTGTATTGAGATTTTTGCTTGTCTAGAGAATGTTCAATGAAATTTGCAGTTAAAATTTGAAATTTCGAAACATAAAGTTATTTGCAAGACTTCGATCGTTCCATATTCTGAACTTATTAATATGCCTTATCATTAAATTCTTATTACTCTTCAATAATATTTTATTTTCATATAAATAGCCATCAACGCAAGATAAACTTAAAAACCTCCAATATTCTTTATACTTTGAACCACTCAGACATTTCAATTAGGCTAATTTAAAATAACTGGCTCTTCCATTCAAGACACATTTCACATCAATGCGAACTTTCTAATAATAATATCCAATTATCTTATAAAACTCGCATAAGAACCGCTTTCAATTATAATAATCCTGAAGGACATTCACGTAGGGTTGTTAACCGGTCCCAAATGGTTCTAACAGTTCCATAAAAATTATTAGTTTTAGAGATAATTTTTTCTTACAAGTTACTAATTAAACTGGCTTATGATAGTGGTTTAATATAAGTTACTTATTGAAAATAAGTAATAAAACTTCTTGAGAAATCAGAATCTTTTAAAATGTAGGATTTGGGATGGGTTTGGGATCATCCCAGGATCGAAACAGTCCCAGGAAGATTGCTAATTTTGTAGACAAATTTTATTTCACCTACCATTAATAAAACTTATTTATCACTTGAACCGTCCAGCGGGCAAATCTTCCTGCTAAAATTTTTTTAGCTTATTTTTACATTTACTTCTAATTTTTATAACTCCTTTCTAAGCTAAATAACAATATAGCATATTTTTAGTCAATATAATCTAAATTTGTAACTTTATGTGATTTTATTATAAAATATTTTTAAAATTAAAGACTAATAATAAAATTTTTTAAAATTGCTTATTTTTAAAGACAACTATATATTTTTTATAATTGTTAAAAAAGTGAAAATAACTATTATATAATATATAATATTAAACAACTTTTTTTAAAATATTTTAATTTTTGGTAAAAATCTATTAGATATAAATTTATGGAATTTTAGCAGGTAAATTTGTCCGCTAAACCTGACAGTTTAAGAGATAATATATCTTAAGAGTTACTTATTATAGTTAAGCAATTTGACTTTTCTAGAATTAGTAATTTTTAAAATTTTTGGAACTGATTTAGGACTGATTAACAACCCTAATATCACGTCTTTAATGATTGTGATTTTCCTTTTGAATTTTAGTTTTCTAATAGGTAGTTGGCTCTTTTAAAATTGATATATGTGTAATTCTGTATCAGTTGGTGTTAAAGCTACACGTGAAGCGAATAGTCTCAACTTTCGACACTTGTAGACTGAACTTACCGTATACTCTCGAATTTAAGCAACCCTCTACGTCATCATTTTTTGACCAATTTTTTGTGGGAGTTGCTTAAATTGACTATGCATCTTGATCGTTACGTACTTCCATTCTTAAAGACAGGTTCAAACTCTCAAATTTAAGTAATCCCCACGAAAAATTGGTCAAAAAACGATGACGTAAGGGGTTGCTTAAATTCGAGAGTTTATGGTATTTGGCGTACATTCCCCTATAACAAAAATATCAACTTAACCTAACAATTAAAATACTGAAAATAGTCTTTGATTGTACCAAATGAGGAAAATGCTCGATTGGACATCAACTTTATGCCAATACACAGTCAACGTCGATATAATGGACCACTTGGTTCTGATTATTTGGTCCGATATATTAACGAATCTGATCAATCAAAAATTTTTGTTATACCGGACTTATTATAAAAGAAAAAAAATCCGTTATACCAATCCAAATTACTAGATATTTATTAAATTATAATTAAGAATTAATGAAAAATTGATCGATACTAGTTTGTTTTTTCTGGGCTATACATTAGGTAACAAATTCCTTTTGTAATTTAACTAAATTATAATAAAATTCGCGTCAACACCCCATTCAGATTGCTTAATAAATATAAGAGCTTCAATACTATCCAACGCTTCACTAAGAGAAATTTTTTCCTTACTTTCTTTTTCGTTATTATTCTCTAATCCTTTTCCAAGTACTACATCAACAATTTCTCTTATACTAACTTCTTCTTGCTCAGTATTATCATCAATGGATATAAATTCATGTGCAGAAAGTAGGAAGCTGTTGAATTAGTTGATCTAATTCATGCTCTAATTTTTGTGATTCATTTTCTCTTAGATTGATAACCTCAACTTCTTCTTCATCGAAAGCTGAGAATTCATATAATGAAAAGGAAGGTGGAAGAATACCAAACCGCGTTCAACTTTGCTGAATTGTCTCTTTTGTGACACTATCCCATATATGATTGATATATAAAATGGCATCATAAATTGAAATCTTTGGAAGCTCGCTTTCTTGATCAGTTAATTTTTAATAAAAAGTAATAATAAACATAATAACAAAAATTACTAACCTTCAAACTGTACAATATTCCTTGATCCATAGGTTGAATAATCGAAGTGGTATTAGGAGGTAAAAAATAAACTGGATATTTGATAATTCATCGATATTGTCAACTTGATGACACGTCGCGCGTCATCCATTAAAAGAAGAATTTTTCGATTGGTAATGCACATCATGGAATTAAACCGATTAAGGTAAGATCTAAAAATAGATCTTTGAATCCATGCTTTTGTATTCCAATAGTACCACACTGGAAGTGTAGATTTAGTAATTCCTTTGAGAATACGAGATATTTCATACTTGTGGATAAATAAAATTGGTAATTTTTCATCTCCTTTTACATTTGTCATCACCAGCAATGATACTCAGTCTTTTGATTTCTTCTTTCCTTTAACTGGACCACATGCTAGAGTTCGATTAGGTTCAAGCATCCAATATAATGCTGTCTCATCACAGTTGAATACATCTTTAGGTTCATAGTCTTTGATTATGTCTTGAAGTTGCTTACGGAATCTTGGAATTTCGTTCATATCAACACTGCCCGATTCACCGCGTTTTTTGTAAGATTTCAAATTATCCCGTCTTTTGAAATTCTTGGCCCAACCTGTAGAAGCTAGAAACTTGTCAGAAACTTCGAATTCTTTGGCAAATACCAAGACTTTTTCCATTAGCAAACTATCACTCAAATTCAAGTCATTTCGTACTAGTATATTTTCACCCAAATTTTCATTGCTTCTTCAATATCTTCAAATGTTGCTTTTCGGGCATGCTTGGAACTGGTTAAATCCATTCCTGATCCAATTTTTAACCACTGTTCTTTTGCTTTGACAATATTAGAAACGGTTTGCTTTGATATTCCATACTCAGCGGCAATATCTTTTTGCTTCAGTGTCTTGTCAGTTTCGAGACATTCACAGATTTCTTTTTTTTGAAGCGCGGTTAGGGAAACGCGAGCTTTTTTGGTCTTTTCTGCTGGATTATTTGTCGTTACTTTTCGTTTTTCATTTGTAGTATTTGTTGGTGTTTGGCTGGGTGGAAGGTCCGAAGAATATTCAGGAGAAAATGGAGAACAAGGATGTTCTAGACTGGTAATAATAGACTGGTGTTCGGCGGCCATAAAAGTTATAATTTGTCATTGATAAATCGATTTGGTGATTGCATCCGCTTTATTATACTGTAGCTATATATATCGGAGTCCGTTTTACTATACCGGATCCGCTTTAGCTATACCGGAGTCCGTTTTATAAAATACATTTTATCGGTCATAGGCTATTATTACTGTGTTCAGCCAAATTAGTCCGGATCCATTATCGTTATACATAATCTGTTTATTAATAAAGTATTATTAGAATTTTTCGTTCCCAAAAAAGTCCGTACTAAGCCAAATCGACGTTGACTATGTAAATATGAAAACTAGTACACAATTATTTGATGGTAAATTATACGTGACAAACAAAATTGAAAGCTGATGTATTCTCAGGTGACATTTCAATCAGAACACCACCAAATGTGATCACAGCAACAGATAAAATCGAGTTAAGTGATAATTAGAGCAACGTGCCATTGTGAGTTCAGTTGTGCCACTAGAATTACATCGACTAACACGAAATCAGAAAAATTACTTGGTTGCAGTGTTCAAATACAGTGCGTCTCGAAAATAATGGCGGTGACAAAAATTACAACAGAATAAATAAATTTACAGTAGATTCGTTTGAAAACCTATCAATTATTTTACTAGATGTATGTATAAGTTTCAATATGAAATTTTATTACCATTTTCTTGTAAACCTAATTTGTTTCAATCTTTAATGAACTGATCTATTTTTGATCTATTTTTTAGGATAATATTTTATTCTGTGCACAAGCTTACTTTTTAAGTTATGCTTGTTAATCTGAAACAGAATATTCTCAGTGATGGTAAGGGGAAGTGTCTTTTATCACCTGATTTTTTGGAGGGGAAGGGGGTCAGAGCAAATATCAAGTTATAAAATATAAATAATGTATTACTGTAATATTTTCTATGTCAGATTGGGAGGGGTTAACCTCATAATAATGATCCAGGGCATTTGGTCACTATGTACATGTATATCATTTAGGCAATTTATCATGTGATTTATGATTTTAACCAATAGAGTTTCAGAAAGTCATTTTTATTAACAGCGTCACAGATTTTATTGGATAAAGTTAAATGACCTAGCGCTAGGTCATGGATTGTTCAACTTTCGAAATGACCAGTTATTAGTTTGCCAACACTGTTTTCTGCTGCAAAATGAATATTATTAAGCCAAAAATTTCCAGCTTTATATTAATTGTGTCGTAAGATGCTAGAGAAAAAAGTTATTACTAAGAAGATTTTTATTTTGCAGGCAATACTATAAATGATATTGAATATGGTTTTTTTGTTTGTATTACAAAATAGCATCAACCGCCACTTTTTTCGAGACACCCTGTCGATAATGGGATACGAAAATTTGAAGATTCCATTATGTTTCAGAATAATTATTTAATCAAAAAGATAAACCATCTTGTCACCGAAATAATAAAATGCACTACCGACATGTTATCGTTATGTGCTACGTGTTTTTTCTATCTGCTACGCAGGTAACACAGGTAAGTACATTACGTACGTATTGTAGAAGCCTTTAGGTGGAATACCAGTTTCCTAGATGTTTTCTGCATATGCTTATAACACTTCATAATGCCAGTCGAGTTGATCACCGATAAGGGTAGATATCGATACCATAAGCAAAATTATTCAACCCCGGTTTACTTAATAAAATTTCGATCTGAAAATAATTGATCGATTGAAATTTTCATGTGACCTTTTTCGTTTCTGCAATTAGGCATTTGTTTCATATAGTCGTAATAAAGAAAACTTTAGTCATAATGATAAGCATAATCATACATTAAACGCCATCTAGTTGATCAATTTCTTATTTCAGAATGTGAAAAAGGTTGTATTCTCTTCGCATTTACTTGCTCTTTGTAGCTATGTTTTGAAATTCTGTCCTACAAACATTCGAGTAATATTTTATTTTAAAAAACTAATTTTTCAAAATATTATGATTAAATAAATTATAATGCTTAAAACTAAAAAATTAATACATAGATTTATTTTATTTTATTTTCGAAATTTTATTATAGAGACTGGGAAGGAGTTACCATTTAAATTCCTCGAGAATAACATATTTGTATCGACACTAATCAAATGAACGATCATATTTTGTATCACCATAAATAAAAAATGATCAACTATCGCTATTAGTATCGGTACACCCCAGTGCTACCTACATCTAGTGTTGTACATGGGACATCATGGACAGATTTCGGACATTGTGTAACCAACTTTGATGTCGAATTACGCGAAATTTTATTAAGACAAGTTGTCTTGAACTACTAATTAAAGTTGTTCACAATTGATTTTTGCATATATCTACAAAGTTTCGATATATATATTTATATGTAACACAAGAGTACAGACGTCCGCGGATCGGACGCGGACATCTCAAAAAAGTCGCGGGCATCCAAAATGTACAACACTGGCCTACATCTACATCAGGAGTGTAAAAACAACATAATGATAAGTTTGCAGATCTAAACACATAATGTGTTTCAAAACTTCCTGATGTAGTATTTATTAGCAACTATGTACATTAAAATTGGTTAAATACTAGTAACGGTAAAGTCATTCCAGATTTACATACAAACAGGTAAAAGAGCAGGTTTTTCCTTGTCGCGCGTAGTTATGTTTTTTTGAATTCACACAGAATTTCTAATAAAACAGGTTGAGAGCAAGCTTTGCTTTATCACTTATTCATTGCAAGTACAATGAGTGACATTACCATCCACTCTACCAGCAAGGAAGGGTGGCACAAAAATAGGATGACCGTTTGACCCAGCTACAATTTGGCCAAAGATTTTTTGTATTGTAGTTATTTTTTACACATTGTAAATAATCGCGTAATTTGCAAATCTGTATCAAATAGAAAAGGCGTTCACTAAAATAATGCTCTTTCCTTAATAAGATTCCCGCAATTCAAATAAAGTAGAACGTAAAACGCTATATATACGTAAAACTCAAAGGTTTGCGCGTCAAAAAAGAATACACCTTAAACTTCAAATAAAAACTTCACTTAAAAAACTCCACTTGATTTTTAGTTTTTGCAATAATGGATCAGAATAATGAACAAAAAAAGAAACGTCAAAAACCAATAATACGCATAATAAAAAAATTTTTCGTTGATATAGTACCAGAGCGTAAAACAGAGCCATCGTTTTTTCGCTACATAAAATTTTTT